TTTCTCTCAATTCTTCCCTCCATGTGCTTCACGTGCTTTAAAAGGAATGCACCTGCCAGTGCAGCAGCAGTCCTGTCGGCACACCAAGTCTCCAAGCTGCACACGCAAGTTTGAATTATTTCTTTTTGCGCATGGCATGGCTACTGAAAGATCACAAGTAGGTAGTTTTTCTCGTCCAAAAGCTCCCTTGTGACGGTAACCTGCTCATCCCCCACAGCAATTCTGCACTCATCCGTAGTCAGAGGTCTCTCTGCAGGAGCCCCAGCATTCAGGCAGGAGTTTGTGAAACCTCGGTGGAGCCCAAGACCTAGAGAGGGTTGTTTTAAGAGTGCAGACTTACATGAAGTGGCTGTTCTGCCCTATCCAGCTTGCTTCTGGGGTCAGGCTCAGAAACGGCCCAGTCCCCCAAGGGGCTTGGCTACAATATCATTTGCAATCAAAACTTTTGCAACCATTATCCAAAGTGAGGTATCACAAGATCGGAAGAATGGGCTCCACTTGTACTCGCCATCAAATTGGCACTAACTGATGAACACTAGGGTGCTCACATGGCAGTAATACTCTCCAGGGATTAGGGGGATTGGCGGGGGGTGGGTAAACCCTCAATTAAAGGACACGGGGAGCATTGTAGAGGGGAAGGGCACACTGCTAACCCAATCTTGGGTGAGGCAAAGACATAAAATGTAACCATAATGTTTGTACCCTCATAGTACCCTGAAATAAAAAAAAAAATAAAAAAAACCTTTTGCAACCAAAACTATCTGTCAAGGGGTCCAAAAGGAATCTTGTGCATTAGTGCCCTGGTGGAAATGCTCATATGCCCACTGAAATTGGTCTTTTCTGTGAACCTGAACATTGCCCTGTGGTATTACTCCAGCCCTCCTCATCTGAGGCCCCAGCTCAGAGCTGCTTGTACGAGGACCCAGAGGGAGACTCACCCATAACTCATATCCTGGGAGCCTGAGCCTCCCTCATGGGCTCTCCAGTTTCTATCCACAGCAGGTCCCAAGCGGACCCGAGGTGACTGGTGCCTTTCGCTGCAGTCAGGGAACTATCCTGTCTGCGCAGGGAGCTCCTGGAAGATACATGTCCTCTGAGCCAATGAGACTGGGCTGTCCAGCCTCTGCCTCATAGTAGGTCCCAAGGGGACCCAATCTCCATTCCAGCCCCTCTCATTGCAGTTGAGGAACTATCTCATATGTGCTGAGACATGCTGGGAGACATGTGCCTGTCAGAGCCAAGGAGATGGGCTCTCCAGTCTCTGTCCTGTAGCAGATCTCAAAGGGGCCTAATCTTAGCTCCAGCCCCTCTTGCTGCAGTCAGAGACCTATCCTATCTGCACAGATCCTCCTGGCAGATGCATACCCTGTGAGCCAAAGAGACCAGGATCTCCAGCTTTCATCCCATAGCAGATCTTGAGGGAGTCCAGTAGTCTTAGCTCCAGCTCCTCCTGCTGCAGTTGGGGAACAATCCTATCTGTGCAGGGGCTTGCTGGGTGATGCACACCTCTCTAAGCCTCGGCCAGGTTCTCCAGCCTCTGTCCCACAGCAGATCCCAAGAGGACCCAGCTTGGCTCTGGCCTCTCCTGTTGCAGTTGAGGAACTATCCTGTCTGTGCAGGGACCTGCTGGAAGATGTGCACCTGTTTGAGCTGAGGTGACGGGCATGCCAGCCTCCAAACCATGACAGATCCTGAGGGTAGCCAGTCTCAGCTTCAACCCCCATGCTGCAGTTGGGGACCTATCCTGTCTTTGAGGAGACCGGTTGTGAGGCATGCCCAGTCAGGCCACCAGGACAGTCTTCTGGACTCAGGTCCCTGGACAGAGTTCCCACATAGCTCTAGTACCTTCTGTGGGTCTTCCCCAGAACCATATAAAGCAAATATTAATAGATCTAAAAGGAGAGATAAGCTACAATATAATAATAGGGAACTTCAACTCACCCTGCTGTCAATAATGGACAAATCATCCAGACAGAAAATTAACAAAGAAACATTGGAGTTTAATTATACGGTAGATCAAATATGTCTAACAGGTATTTAAGAACATTTCATTAGCTTCTGCAGAATACACATTCTTCTCATCAGCACATGGAACAGTCTCGTGAATAGACTATATGTGAGGACACAAAATAAGTCTCAACAAATTCAAAAAAGTTAAAATCATATCAAGTATCTTTTCTGGCCACAACAAAATAAAATTAAAAACTAGTAATGAGAGGAACTTTGGAAACTGTACAAATATGTGGAAATTAAACAACATATTCCTGAATTACTTCAATTACTCAATGAAGAAATTAAGAAAAAAATTTCTTTTTTTTTTTTTTTCTGTTAATTTCAGCATATTATGGGGGTACAGATGTTTAGGTTATGTATGTTGCCCTTGCCCCCCCCTAAAAAATTTCTTGAAACAAATGAAAATGAAATACAATATACCAGATATAGCAACAGCAGTATGAGGGAAATTTATACCACTAAATGCCTACATCAAAAAGATAGAAAGATCACAAATTAACAGCCTAATGTTACACCTCAATAAACTAGAAAAACAAGAACAAACCAAGCCCAAAGCTAGCAGAAGAAAAGAAATAACAAAGATCAGAGCAGAGTTAAATGAAATTGAGACCAAAAAATCAATACAAATAATCAATGAAATGAAAAGTCAGTTCTTTGAAAAGATAAACAAAATTGATAGACCTCTAGCTAGACTGACTAAGAATAAAAGAGAGAAGACCCAAATAAATAAAATCAGAGATGAAGAAAAAAACTACATTACAATTGATACCACAGAAATAGAAAGGATCATTAGAGACTATTACGAACAACTATATGCCAACAAATTGGAAAACCTAGAAGAAATGAATAAATTCCTGGACACATACAACCTACCAAGACTGAACCATGAAGAAGTAGAAAACCTGAACATACCAATAACAAGTAATGAAATCAAAGCAGTAATAAAAAGTCTCCCATCTAAGAAAAGCCCAGGAGTCACCAATAAATTCTATTAAACTTTTAAAGAAGAGTTAATATCAATTCTACTCAAATTATTTCAAAAAATTGGAGAGGAGGGGCTATTTCCAAACTCATTCTACAAGGCCAGCATTACCCTGATACCAAAACCATACAAAAACACAACAAAAAAAGAAAACTGTAGGCCAATATCCCACATGAACATAGATGTAAAAATCCTCAATGAAATAATAGCAAATTGAATTCAACAGTGTATTATAAAGATCATTCACCATATTCAAATGGGACTCATCCCAGGGATGCAAAAATGGTCCAACATAAATGTAAATAATAAATGTGCATTACATCAATAGAATCAAGGACAAAAAGCATATAATCACTTTAATAGATGCTAAAAAAGCATTTGATAAAATTCAACATCCAATCATATAGAAAAACTCTCAACAAATTGGGTATAGAAGAAAAATTCCTCAACACAATACAGCCCATATGTGACAAACCCACAGTAATATCAGACTGAAAGGGGAAAAATTGAAATACTGTCCATGAAGACCTGGGAAAAAGACAAGGGTGCCCACTTTCACCACTTTTATTTAACATAGTACTGGAAGTCCTAGCCTAAGGAATTAGGCAAGTGAAAAAGTAAGAAAAATAAAAGGCATCAAAATTGGAAAGGAAGAAATCAATTCATCCTTGTTTGCAGAAGACATAATCTTATATTTAGAAAAACCTGAAGAATCCACCAAAATCTTTTAGAAATGATAAATGAATTCAGTAAAGTTGCAGGATATAAAATCAACATACAAAAATCAGTAGTTTCTATATACTAACAGTGATCAATCTGAAAAAGAAATCAAGAAAGCAATCCTATTTAGAATAGCTCAAAAAATACCTAAGAATAAATTTAACCAAAGAAATGAAAGATCAAGGAAAACTATAAAACACTGCTAAAAGAAATTGAACAGGACACACAAAAAAGGGAAAGACATCCCATGCTCATGGATTAGAAGAATTAATATTATTAAAATGTCTACACCACTCAAAGTGATCAACAGATTTAATGCAATCCATATCAAAATAATAAAGACATTCTTCACAGATATAGATCAAACAATGCTAAAATTCTTACGAACAAGAAATATAAAAGCTTGTCTCATAGGATGGTTAAAAGTAATTCTGAACAAAATAAACAAACCTGGAGGCATCACATCACTTGATTTCAAATTATACTACAAAGCTATAATAACCAAAATAGCATGGTACCAGCATAAAAACAGACACATAGACTGAAAAATCAGAATAGAGAACCCAGACATAAATCCACACACAGCCAACTCATTTTGACAAAGGTGTCAAGAACACACAATGGGGGAAAGGGCATTTTCTTCAATAAATGGTCCTAAGAAAACTGGATATCCATATGCAGAAGAATGAAACTAGATCCCCATCTTTCACCATAAACAAAATTCAACTCAAAATAGATTAAAGACTTAAACGTAGGACCGGAAACTATGAATCTACTAGAAGAAAATACTGGGAAAATGGTACAGGACACTGGTCTTGGCAAAGATTTTTTTGGTAAGACCTCATAAGCACAGGTAACAAAAGCAAAAATAGACAAATGGGATTTATGTCAAGCTCAAAAAGTTTTTGCACAGCCAAGGAAACAATCAACAAAATGAAGAGACAACCCTTACAGAATGAGAGAAAATATTTTCAAAATATCCATCTGATGGGATTAATAACTAGAATATACAAGGAAATCAAACAACAGCAAAAAACCAAATTACACGATTAAAAAATGGGCAAAAGACCTCAATAGGCATCTCATGTACCTCCAAAATATGTACAGTGATCATATATCAATAAAAAAAAAAAACCCAAATTACAAAAGTTGGCTTGGGAAGGTGACATGGCTATTGTCATTATTAAGTCATCTCACAACATAGGTCACAAAGCAACATGATGATATTCTATCAGTACTGTCAAAATTGCACAGACATATTGTGAAGAGGGTTTTGGGGGCTTACCTTAAAAGAGATTTCATACTGTTCTCCTCCCCAGATTTCTAAACCTGGATCATAGCCACCCAATTCCCAAAACCATTTTCGATCCACAGCAAAGAGACCTCCAGCCATAACAGGAGACCTGTGAAATGAACAAAATAATCTTTAAAGGACTATGAACATTAGAGACAATGGAATTATGTTTGGAAATAAAAGCAAACTTCAAGGTATGTTTTAGAGATCTATTGTATGGAGCTATGCAGCACTGGTTTTCTGTAAGTGGATATGGGATTCTCATTGGGCCTTTTACTGAAGTGGACCTGGGGTGGGGAGGAGGGAGGTTCTAATGCAACAAATGCCCTGTAGAGCCACATTTGCTTCATCTGTTCATCATTAGAGAGAAATACATGAATAGTAATAACTGATATTTTGAGAAATATCACTCAGTTTTATGGCTTTTCCTCAAATTGAAAGGGATCTTCTACTATCAGACAACTAAAAGTATTGAAACCCTGTTGTAGACAATGTCTTTGATTTAATCTCTCAGTACGCATTCACCAAACATCTATTACTATGTGCAGGTCATGTTCAATTGATAGACTATAAGTTGGTTGGTTAGAATAAATTAACCAACTAGAATTGGTTATTTAGTTAACATGACATAGTTGGAATTTAAATTAGGTTTTTTTTCATTTTGTATTATTCTTTTTAGACCTTTTCCTTTCTAAGAAATATTCATTTTGGTTACATAATCATTTTCAAGTGTTTCATTCCTGCTAGGATGTATTGTAGTTATGTCGCTATATAATAAGATGATCATTGGGTGGACCTTATCCTAAACATTTTTGCAGTTCAAAGGTAGCTCTGATTTCTTTGAGTGCTCTCTATGTGCTAGACCATAGGATAAGGTCTTCACCTAAATACCTTGATTAATACTCACAGCAACCCTATCAATATCATTCCTATGTATGGTTTAAAGAAGCAGACAGAAGTTAGGGATGTTGAACAAGGCAGAGGCTAGTGTGTGGTGGGCCTGGGCTAGACCCAGATCTTCTGATTTCAGAGCTTTTGTGCTCCACACCACATTGTTTCTGTTTCAATGTTTAGGGGGTGAAGAGAGATAATTACATATACATGGACATAAAACAGAGAATGCCTTTATGCAGACCAAGAAAATCTGTGAAAACAACATTGTCAACATAGTTTATGTGACAGTTTTGAAAATCTTTTGAAACATATTTATAAATAACAGTACAATACTGTTATTTATATTTATAAATAATAGTACATAAGGTATTAAATGTTGATATACACTTAAAAACGTGTATAAATATAATAGACACCAATTTACAGACCAATTGAGGACTTATTCTTGGTAATATTTTATGAGGCACTTGGGTAACATAAACCTGAATTTGTTTAAGGTGTATCATGTATTTCAAAGAGTTTGCATGTTGAGATGGTACTTGGTCTAATTACTTCAGTTTAGGAATATATTTTTTGCAAGTGTAGACTCTATGTAGATAGAAAGATTAAAAGGCTGAAAGAGGAATTTATTTTTCCCTCTAGGAAAGTGGGCAGGATTCAGGAAATAATATAAAGAATCTCATGTAATTTTTTATTTTGTTTGAAATAAAAATCTTAGAATCAGATGTACCTTACTTCATCCCTCTCTCCAGAAACCTGATCTTTTTTCATTTTTCACTCATGGAATTTCAGAGTGGAATTACAGCCGTAGCTGGAACAAAAAAGGACTGTAATATTTATTGGATGCAGCTACCCAGCGAACACTTCACCACAGTGTAATCATTGCTGCTGCAGGGCTTGGTTCTAAGTAATCGGAAATTCTCAGTCCCATTCAATCTGAACCACAAATGGAAAGATCCTGCCATACAAATATATTCTCATTTGATTGTGTTAAAATGAGAACAAAGTGCATCAAAATTTACACTGTGCATAGTGAATCTCAAAACTAGAATTATAAATATAATATTAAAGATATTGGGCAAAAGAAAGTCCTAAATTGATTTTTTATCATAAATAACTTGTTGGAAAAATAATCTTGTTTTATTAATGAATTTATTAAAAATATAGTGTATTTTAGGTTAATTTTATATGCATAGTAACATAAATTCAGATGGGTCCTCCTTATTTTCATTGGTATTTCTACCAAACCCAAATAAATCAGTATTTCCTATATTTGTGAATGACTGGTAAGAAGCAAACTTTTTAATTACTGTATTTATGTATTTACTCATATTTGTCAGTGAATTTTTAAAACAGCTTAGTTGAGGTATAACTGACATACCATGAATTGCACATATTTTAAGTGTACGACTTGATAAGTTTTGACTGGTGTTTGACCCTGTGCAGCCATCACTGAAAATGAACCTACTCGTAGTCCCCAAAAGTTTCCTCGTGCTTCTTTGTAGTATCTCCCTCATTCCCTTACAATAGGCAACCACTGCTCTGATTTCTGTTGCTATAGATTAGTTTGCATTTTCCAGAATTTTATACATATGGAATAATACGGTATGTACTTGTAGACAGGTCTGGCTTCTTTTGTTCAATATAATTATTTTGAGATTCATCTATGTTGTAGCATGTATCAATAGTTCATTCTTTTTTTAAGTGCTGAATAGATTTCTATTTGCATGAATATACCGCAGTTGATTATCCATTCTCCTATTGATGGACATTTGGGTTGTTTCCAGTTTGGGGCTACTACAAATGAGGTTGCTATGGACTTTGAGTATAAATGTGTGTAAATGTGTGCTTTCATTCCTCTTGGGGAAATTCCTCGGAATGGAACAACTAGATCATATAGTGGGTGTAGGTTTAATCTTTGAAGAAACTGCCAAACTGTTTTCCCAAGTGGCTGCGCCACTTTATGTTCCCAGCGGCAGTGTTTGAGGTCCAGTTGCTCCATGTCTTCACCATACGTGGTCAGTCTGTTGAGGTTTAGTCATTATGATAGGTGTACAGTGGTAGCTTCTTGTGGTTTTATATCGCATTTCCATGATGGTTGATGACGTTAATGTGTTTGTATCATTTCTCATTTTATCCTAGTAAATCTGGCTAGAGGTTTATCAATTTTATGGATCTGCTAAAAGCACTAACTTTTGGTTTCATTGATTTTTCTCTATTGTTTTTCTGTTTCATATTTCATTGATTTCCATTTAGTTTTTATTATTTTAATTCTTCTGCTGCTTTGTATTTAATTTGCTCTTCTTTTTCTAGTTACTTAGGGTAGAAGCTGAGATCATTGGATTGAAATTATTTTTTTCTAACATAGGTGTTTAGTAATATAAATTTCCTTTTAACTACTGCTTTAGCAGAATCTTACAAATAATATGTCATGTTCCCATTTTCATTATGTTCAAAATATTTTAAAATTTCCCTTTGTTTTATTTTTTGACCTATATGTTATGTAGAAGTGTGTAGTTCCTAAATATTTGGGAATTTTTTGGAAGATTTTTCTGTTATTGATTTCCAATTTAATTCCATTGTGGTCAGAGAATTTAAATTATATGACTTAAATCCTTATAAATTTATTGTGACTTTTTAATGGCTTAGAATACCACCTATCTTGGGTAAACATTCCATGTGTATTTGAAAAAGATGTACACTTTGTTGCTGTTGGGTGGAGTGTTCTATAAATATTTGGTCAAGTTGGTTGATAGTGTTGTTCAAATCTTCTATGTTCCTATTGATTTTCTGTTTCCTTGATCTATCAATTAGTGAGGGGATTATTGAAATCTATAACTATGATTCTGAATTTGTTTATTTCTTTTTGCTTTTCTATCAGGTTTTTGCTTCATGTTTTTGTAGCTCTGTTAATAAGGGCATATATGTTCAGGATTTTTTTGTGCTTGATGAATTGGCCTCATTATCACTATGAAATAACTTTATCACCCCTGGTAATATTATTTGCTCTGTCATCTATTTTGCCTTGCTATTAATATAGTCATTCCAGCTTTCTTTGGATTTGTATTATATAAACACTAGTATTTATAACTTTTTCTGTCTTTTTACTTTTAAACTATTTGTATCTTTATACTTAAAGTGGTTTTCTTATAGGCAACGTATACTTGCATCTTGCTTTTCAGTTGGCTTATATAGACCTCTTCTAACATGATTATTCATGTGGTCAGGTTTAATTAAATCTATCGTCTTTGTTTTCTCTTTGTGTCACCTGTTGTTCCATTTTCCCCTTTTTTCTGTCTTCTTTTTGTGTAAATGAATATTTTCATGATTTCATTTAGTATCATTTTTTGACTTAAAAAAAACTCCTTGTTTCATTATTTTAATTTTTTTTGGCTACTTTAATGGTTTGTAGCAGATACCTTTATTTTATCACAGTTTATGTTCCAGTGATATTGTGCCACTGCACATATATTATTAATATAAGAAGGTTTTGATAGTACACTTCCATTTCTCTTCCCCTAAACTTTGTACTTTGTTATTATACATTTTGCTTTCACATATGTTATAAATCCCACATTGTATTGTTATTATTTTTGTTTCAGTGGTCGATTATCTTTTTGAAAGAGTTAACTAATAAAATTTTGTTATGAACACAATAATATATATGATATTATATTATGAGCACTGTTTCTGTATTCTGTTGGATTCCAGTGGCTCTGAAGAAAATTTAATATTGTGATATATTACACACAACTAAGTTTATGGATTGAAATTCATACCCCACCACACAAAGAGGAACTATTGTGCAATGTTGTACTGAAGTTAATGAAAATGACTGTATTCCTCATGTATTAAGGATGAAAGATTTTAACGTGTCACATTGTTTTTTCATCAGAGGAAATGAAGAAGGGCAGTTTATTATTTTCAGCATGTTCTTCTGCTCTCTCTTTTCCATTTAAAATATAATAATAATTGCTTGAAATTTTCCTCATGGGTTCCATTGCCTGTAATATTCCTTGATTTCTTCCAAAATATTCTTGCTATTTTGTCCCCCTGGGAATGGTAACACATTGTAGATGTGTTTTAATGCTGCTCTGCGTCCATGTAACTTTTAACATAGTAATGTAATTTATGAGTATTGCTGACAACATTACAAATCAGGCTTTGAGTTTTGCTATTAAAAAACACTTGTTATCCTTGGGATACTTTTTAAAA